CCCAATATATCCAATGATATATGGATTTCTTAGTCTTTTCATTAAATTACATTCTGCTTTAATATCTTTTATCATTATTTCTCGTTCTTCTTCATCTGTAAAACTCATTTTAAATGTTTTAATTGCAACAAAAATACCTCGATAACTTCCTAAATATACAGTAGAATATGTTCCTTCTCCAATTGGTGTTTCAATCATTCTAATTTCATCCATATCAATATCTGTAGATGCTGATGCTTCGATTTTAAGTGTAAAATTAAATCTATATTTAATTTTTTTTTCCTTGTGTCATCAAATTATGTTTATCTCTATCTTCTTTTGAATATGTTTCTTCTGTTTGATTTCTAAGATTATTAATAATATCTTCTAAATTCACTTTTCTTTGTGAAAAATAAACTGTACTTGGTATTTTCATTCCATGAAGTTTAATAGTACAAAACAATGTAAGATAAATAGTGATTGTAGCCTTTCTTTTAGGTGAAATAATTAGATATTCTGGTTCTGTATGAAATACATATTTAGGTGATTTAGGCAAATGAATAATGACAAGCATATATTTATCTCTTTTGTTTTTAAATACTACTTGATTGAAATATGTCTTTCCAATACTAATAAATTCACTATCTCCAAATGTCAAATCAACACAACTCGTTGTAAATGGAAGTTTTTTATCAACTTCTATCGGGTTAATAACACTAGAATTAGATATATTTAAAAACATATTTGGTTGTTCTACTAAAAATACTTTAGGATCAAAACCTTTCCTTTTTCTAAATGCATTGACGATTAAAAATATTCCAATCATCAATATAAAGATAATCCAAACACTTCCAATAATAATTAACAACGATGTATCAATGTATTATTAAACTGGACTTTTTTTGTTTATTGTATTGAGAAATGAAGATTAATTGAGTTATTTGATAAGAAAGAATTTTTAAAGAAAACAGAAAGAATAGAAACAAATAAGACTAAAAAGAATGAGTTACAATAATAGTGAAACACAAATTTATTACGTCAATTTATGTTTATTCACAAAATTTTAAAACTATTTTGTAGTGAAAGGAGAGGGTTTAGAAGTATCCCAACATTTAATAAATTCACGTTTTGGTTGAGTAATTTTTTTGTCTTCAGTTATTCTTTTGAAGAATTTTTTATGACGATGATAGTCTTCTATTGCTGTTGGCATTTCATTTTTAAATATTTCTAATTTATTGTCAATTGCTGTTAACATTGTTTTTCCAGTTATGTCTGGGATTTCAAAAGATTTCATTGAGGGAAGTACAAAACTGCCAAGAATTTCTTTCTGAATAAAGTTCATTAAGAATCCTTCAATTTTGTCTTTAATTTTTTCAGGCATATTTTGAGTTTTAAAAGTAGGTATTTCAATGTCAAGATTTACAACAGGTTCAGTTACAAAAGCAAACCAAATAATGTTTGTAGGAAGGTCTTGAAACATTAGTCGAATCATTGAATCAAGACTATTTAATTTTACTTCTGCATTTAAAGTAATTGTCCCAAAGAAAACATGAACTTTTATTTCGAATTTCATTTTGAATCCATTTAAATAATGAATAACTGCTTCAAGAAATGTTTTATTTGGAGAATTTAATCTACGAATAGATGGATCATTAAAGATTGGTAATGAAGGTCCCATTTGAAATTCAGTACAATTAACTGCCTCAACAAATGAGGGGAGTGAAGACTTTTCAATTTTGTTTTGAATAATTGTTTTTATTAAAGAAAGGAAGGAATTGTTATCATAGAAGGTAAAGAAAATACGATGAACAAGATAGTTTATTCCATAAAACCATTGTAATGATTCTGTTGCGTTAAGACTATCTAGTCGACTTAATAAATTAGTAAAATGTTCTTTAAATTGTAAAGAACGGCGTGCTTTTTCAAAGTCAGTTGGAACATTTGGAAAAATTCCAGAATTAAGTTTAATGAGTTTGGAAGGGTAATACATTGATATTTGTTGAAGTAAAGAAAGATAGAAATGTTCAAGGATAATACCTGAGTTAAAATGAATTTGAATAGAGTTGGTGTTTGGGAGAATGGGTTTATTAGAACATAAAGTTAAACGATCATTTGGAAGATAACGAAGAATAATACCAGGGATAAGTAATGTATTTAAATCATTAAAAAGTATTTGATATTCTTCTTCTTCAATTCTTAAAATAATTGATTTATTATTGGTTGTTATTACTGCCTTAGTTGGTAAAAGTGAAGGATTATTAAAATATATCAGACAGTCAAATGATGATGGTATGACAAAGTTAGTTCTACAATTTGAATGAGGTGTATTTGGGTTATCAAATACTGTTCTTGTTAGTTTTAATTTATTAACTTTTTGAATATTATATTTTTGAATCAACTTAAGAAAAGTTTGAGAGTATAAAATTAATATAATAAGGAATATGGGACTAATTCCAATAAAGAATCCCAACACTGCAATACCAATCATAAATTTTATGTCTTTTTGAGTTTTATTTTTTTTTTCTCTTTTTTTTAAGTAAAAATGACATTTTGTTATTTTGTTTTAAATATTAATACATACTAAAAAAAAGAAGTTAATTCAATAACTTCAAATGACCAGTAATTTTGTTAATTTTACTAACAGTGTCTGGACCAATACCTAAAACAGTGATTGTGTTAGGAGCAATTTGTGTTCTACCAAGATCAGTTATCAATCCATTAACAATACCCTCTTGATTTGCTTGTTTCTCCAATTCTAATCTATACTATGTTAGTCTCTATTATAAATTAATGTAATAAACAAACATTTGTTCTAATGAATCAACTCTTAATGCAACTTTAGTTTGGTCATGCTCGTGCCAATATTTTAAAACATCTGGCTGAGTCTGTAATGATTTAAGAACACACTCAACAACAGCATGACCACATTGTGCAGCAATTTTACCTTTACCCATTTTTAAATCATTTCGAACACAAAAAACCATTTTGTATTCTTCTGGTTGTGTTGTTGTTGTTTTTTCTTGAGAAAGTGATTCTTGTTGTGTTTCACTCATGACAAGATTGAATAATTTATTTCTGTCAAACTTCAAAATCTTTTATTTTACCATAAAAAAATTATCAAATTTACTAAATATATTTCATTGGCACATTCAAAATTCTTTTCTAAATAATCTAAAATAAATTTATGTATGTTATTTTTAATATCATCAAATTATACTATTGATAGAATCTAATGTATTGTTAAAATTAATTGGTTCTAACTTTATTTTAATATATAAAAACAAACTAAGTATTTTTATTTTATTTAATGATGTTCTGTATATTATTGACATTAAAAATATATGATTATCTTTTTATTTGAATAAACCTTGATTTAACAAATTATGCTTTTATCAATTGACATATTTTTATATTTTTATTGTGACTTATTGCATATTTAAATAATAAAGATAAAAGTATTAAAAAGTGAATAAGATATTGTCTTTAGTTCAATTCATTTTGAGACAAATAAAATAAATATTCATTATTTATAATACTGCTTAGTTCCTTTATCTGTTATTTCATAGAAAGATAAAAATAATCAATAAGTGTGAAGGGTTAATAGACAATAACAATCAAAAGGATAATAAGATTAATCAAACTTATACCAGACAAAGAAATAAAATAGATTAATGAAATATCATCCACTCAAATTATAAAAAAATATACAATAAATCAATATAATATCTATGATATCTTTGATAGAATTTTATATATTATTTTCAAATAAAGTTAAAAGTATCACATTAGCAATAACAGATAGTGATATATATCTGAAAAAAGAGAAAATAATAAAAAGAACAAAAGATACATTAACAGTACCAAAAATGGGGAAACACAACATTTAATCTTTAAAACATAACCTACTTTAAAGATTAGAATGGTATTTGAAAATAAAGATAAATATAACATATAACAAAGATAGAATGATTCATAAATATTTAAATGAAAAGTAACAAGAAACACCAAGTTGACTATATTAGAGTTGGTTAGTAGTTTGATCAAAACATAAAACAATCATATATTAATGAGAATATACTTTGATAGAAACAAATTAAAAAGAAGATAATAAAAATTATTAAAAATTTGTTAAATATACCAGAAGAAGATATTCCATAAAAAATGCTAAAAATTCAAGAATAAATGAATATGATAGGTTTTGACTCAAATATGATACAATAGAAATGAGTGGTATTATAACTAATTATCTACTGTAAAATTTTTTTCTTTTTCATTTAAAATAAAACTTTGAAAAAAAAATTATACATGGATAAAATTGAAGATGAATTTATGAAATTTAAGAATAACAACAACAGTTGTTTCATGAACTACAAGAATGAAGAAATAGAACTTTGGATAAATTCGTGGATTAATAAAAAAGAAAAATTTCAAGAATATATACAATTTATTGATGCATTGTTTCACACTATAAATAATTATAAACAAGTTAATCAATTGCTTCAAAAGTTTCTTCATAATAAGTCATTAAGTTCAATTCGTTGTTTACATTTTTTGATGCAAACCAATTATGTTTATGAACATTTTGATGTTGTGTCTCTTCTTAGTCAAATATTTTCATTAACTATTAGTCTAAAAGAAGATATAAAGCAGCAGACATTCATTAATTTTGAACATTTCAAAGAGTCAATGCTCGAAAATATCTCAAATATTAATAAAGAAACAATCTCGATATTTGAAGAATTAAGTAAGTTATGTTTTGATATTCATCAGAAAGGTGGATTAATTATCTTTTTGAGAACACTCATTAACCATAAGCAAAACGCTATCATTTTTCCAATTGAATTACCACTGACACCAATTACTATTTCAATTATCTTCCATTCTTTAATTAGTGGAATAAAGTATTTTGAAC